GAACCCACGACCTTCGCGTTATTAGCACGACGCTCTAACCAACTGAGCTAATGGGCCGACATTCCAAATTACAAACGACATCTATTTATATATAGAACAACACACCACAGAGTAACAACAATAATTCTATTATTATCATGTTTATAGAAATGTGAAAGAATTGTCAATTTCAACAGCTAAGGCACGAAGGGAGTGATGTCTTCCTCACAACAATCTAAAGAAAAAATATCCAGATAGAGAATTTGCATACATTTCTTATATAACATCAAAACTGTTAAAAGTACGTACATATACTAATAAACAATTTTTTAAATGGTGTGGTAAGCCTTTCTTGATTAATCAAGAATGGGTATTTGACTAATTCTGGAAAAAAATCAAGGAATAGTTGATATTTATTCTGATAGATGGCGCAGGCCATCAGAAACTTTCAGTTGCATAATAAACAATTGTTTTGAAATCACTTTAAACAAAGTTCGCAATAATGGGGAATAAAATGTTTCAAATGAACAATGACGTTTCAATTTATTTTATTGGGAGCTTTCGTGTCCTTTCATTTTTTCAGCTTAAAATTAGAATAAAATATAAGAAGTATTAAAGGTGGAGAAGATCAGGATGGTATCATAATGAAAGTTAATTTCCTCATTGTAGAGCTAGAAGAAACCTAGAGTTACTTTGACGTAGAGATTTAGCGTGTGTTTAGTTAAATTATCACAGTTATATATATTCTGATTATTCTTATTTCTAAATTGACAAGCTTTCGGGGTTTACCCTTTATCAAACAAAATAATAAAAACAAATTGTATTTCTCATATGATATACGTCTTCATTATTTGGCTTGATAAAGGGCATCCCTGAAATCTTATAACTTTAGAAATATAAATATCGTCTGCATATAATTTTGATTATTCTAATTTAATAGTTACGTTAAATAGTTAAATAATTTCCTCATTGTAGAGCTATATATAGAAGAAACCTAGAGTTACTTTGACGTAGAGATTTAGCGTGTGTTTAGTTAAATTATCACAGTTATATATATTCTGATTATTCTTATTTCTAAATTGACAAGCTTTCGGGGTTTACCCTTTATCAAACAAAATAATAAAAACAAATTGTATTTCTCATATGATATACGTCTTCATTATTTGGCTTGATAAAGGGCATCCCTGAAATCTTATAACTTTAGAAATATAAATATCGTCTGCATATAATTTTGATTATTCTAATTTAATAGTTACGTTAAATAGAGGCGATTGGGGTACGTTATATCGAAGTCATCTCTGTAATATTATAATCAGTTCACAACTTCGATGTTGTTGTCGTGTTCAATGAAAAGCCTCAGATGCCTCCATACATCTCTATCACAGCAGTCGCAATGTCCTCTATCTTGGGTGTGTAAAGCTGCTGCTCTGGGTCCATGTCAATTTTCTGTAAGGCTGCGGCCATTACAGGGTATGAGAATATGTGGCTAGGTGTTAGTTCCACAACAGGACAATCACAATTTCGATGTAATATGGGAAAAACTTTACGCAATATGTTTTCTTAATTACAAAAACACGAGCTTTCGAGCTCTTGCTTTTCATCAGGCAAAATTACAATCTAAGAATGGGCAAGGGAGGTGAGATGGCTATTTGTACTGAGAGTAAGCACGTGAGGTGAGATTTTTTTTATTATTATTATTATTTAAAGGAGGCGCCAACTCAAATGGAGGTAAGCTGCCACACAAGATTTGCATAGATAGATATTTATACTTAGCAAATAAAGTGAAATTTGCATAGATGGATATTTAAACTGAAGAGCGAGAGCTTATATTCGAAAAAACCTCACGCAATATGTTTATTACAAAACCACCGCGAATCTGAGGTGAAATTTGCATAGATAGATATTAATACTTAGCAAATAAAGTGAGATTTGCATAGATGGATATTTATGAAAAAACGTATCATTAAATGGAAGATAGGTATCTTTTATTTGTAAACGTTACGAGCTTTCGGGCAAACGCCCTTCTACAGGTTTTTGACAGAAAATTAAGGCGAGAGACCGACCTATATACAAGGGATGATTTACATAATAAACAATTTTTATAACTTAGCAGTAAGAATTTTTAATTTTTATCCCTTGTATATAGGTCGGTCTCTCGCCTTAATTTTCTGTCAAAAACCTGTAGAAGGGCGTTTGCCCGAAAGCTCGTAACGTTTACAAATAAAAGATACCTATCTTCCATTTAATGATACGTTTTTTCATAAGCTGTACACCGGAAGAGTTTTAAGTTTTTACTATAGATATTTATACTTAGAAAATATAGTGAGATTTGCATTGATGGATATTTATACTGAAGAGCGAGAGCTCTAAAGCTTGCGGTATTTTTGTAATTAAGAAACATATTGCGTAAGGTTTTTCGAATATTTTTATAAAGTAAATCGCAATATAGAAAAGGAATACCGGGTTGAGGAGACAGCTGTAGTTGAGCCGCCCCCAATTCCCTAAATGAAACGTCCAAATTATAGAAATTAGTCAACAAATTAGAATTCCTAATAAGCGGAGGGAGTGAATTAAGTCCGGCGGGACAATTAATCTGCTCCCAATATATCACCATGGTGTACCATTACTTACCTGCCTTCCCTGTTTTACACGACATGTGAATATATAGCATAGACTGGAACAGCTTTGATTGATTGAGAGAGAGAGAGAGAGAGTTCCATTTACATACTTTACATGGCATTGATATGTATATATGGCATGTAGTTTCATTGACTCTAGCTATGGTACCCTTGATTGATTGAGAGAGCTTCATTTACATACCTACCTGACCCGTTTACATCGCATTGATAGATATCTATATATGGCATATAATTACCTTGACTAGCTATGTTGATAACTTTGTATATATTGCATATAATTACATTGGTTGTACCAGGGAGATAGATATGTATATATGCTGATATAATTACATTGACTTTACTATGTAGATAGATATGCTTATATTTGCATATACGTATAAAGATCCGCAGCCTTGATAGATAGAGCTCAAGACCCAGCACCAGCTTCGGAAGATCCCAACTAAAAGCCAATACCAGCTATGGAAGATTCCAACAAAGAGTCAACACCAGCTTTGGAAGATTCCAATAAAGACCCAGCACCAGCTTTGATAGATTCCTACAAAGACACAGCACCAGCTTTGGAAGATTACAACAAAGACCCAGCACCAGCTTTGAATGATTCCAACAGACACCCAGTACCAGCTTTGGAAGATTTCAAAAGAGACCTAGCACCAGCTTCGGAAGATTCCAAAAAAGATCCAACACCAGCTTTGAATGATTCCAACAAAGACCCAGCACCAGCTTTGGAAGATTCCAACAAAGACATAGCACCAGCTTTGGAAGATTCCAACAGAGACCCAGCACCAGCTTTGGAAGATTCCAACAAAGACCCAACACCAGCTTTGAATGATTCCAACAAAGACCGAGAACCAGCTTTGATTGATTCCAACAGAGACCCAGTACCAGCTTTGGAAGATTCTAACAAAGAGCCAACACCAGCTTTGATAGATTCCTACAAAGACTCAGCACCAGCTTTGGAAGATTCTAACAAAGACATAGCATCAGCTTTGTAAGATTCCAACAAAGATCCAGCACCAGCTTTGAAAGATTCCAACAAAGACCCAGCACCAGCTTT